AGTCAGATTATCGGTAAATGTAATAGTAACATATATGGTTATGATCATCCAATCAGAATGAAAGCCCGCTATGCTATCAATATCATATTATATATAATTTAAAATTTGGCGTTTCTGATGTATAAAAAAGTAAAGTGTTCTTATATATATTTGACACCACTTAGTATTATTCTTATATAAAAAAAGTGAATATTTTATATTGTCTTGTATCTAAATATGGCGTAGTAGACCTCTACTAACCAAAGTCAGATGATAGACGCGTGGGCGTGACTTTATAATTGGAAAAAATAAGGAAAACAGATCGTTACACTAAAAAACACGGTTTATAAATCTGCGCGCAGCTTAGTGATAGAAAATTTTTTTTATAATTTAAAATCAAGCAATAGAGATTATAAAAATAATTAGAAAAAAAATGCCTTCTCAAGTTAACCAAGTTGTTTCTAAACTTCAAAGAAATAAGGAACATAACCGTTCCCGACTTGTAAAAATCGTAAATGCACGTCTAATTCGAGATCATAAAATAATAGACGACGACGTACTTTATTTATATAACGGAAAAATCATCGATCCGCAGACTTACTTTTTTACCTTTGGTAATGTACCTGATGTTGTGATCGATGCTAAAGGATTATTAGTGGCTCCAGGATTCATCGATGTACAGATCAATGGGGCTTTTGGTGTGGACTTTTCTCAATTACAAAATGAAGAAAAAATGAGGATAGGAATTGACAAGGTTGCAAAAGGATTGTTAAAGTACGGGTGTACTAGTTTTGTTCCAACAATTATTAGTTCAGGGGTAGAAGTGTATCAAAAGGTATTTCATCGTTAATATAATTTTTCTGTTAAATATTTTAATCAATTAATTAATAAATGAATATTTTAATAAATGAATTTTCTAATTCTAATAAATGAATAAAATGAGTAAAGGTTATCCCACTTCTTAAACCTCGTAAAGGAAATAAGATTAATGGGGCTGAAATTTTAGGTAATTATTAAAAAAATGATCTCTGATGCTATTAAAACATTTATTTTCATGGAACAATTGCTCCCATTATTGCAAAGGTGCCCACGTCGAAGGTCCGTTTATTGAGCCAGATAAATGTGGCGCTCATGAAGAATCTCATCTTCGTACCGCTTCTGGTGGCTTCTCTGATTTTGTAAAAGTGTATGGATTGGATGAAGGAAAAGATCAAATAGTTAAGATCGTAACCGTCGCACCGGAAGTAGAAGGAGTTTTGGATAGTTTGGAAGATCTGGTTCATGCTCGTATTACAGTCAGCTTAGGTATGCTCTCTCATATGATTGCTACTCCAATGTGCGTATATTCATCAAATATTAATCTTAATTATCTAGGTCATTCTTCTGCTACTGTGGCTCAGGCGGAATCAGCTGTCGAAAAAGGAGTAAGTCTAACAATACTCATTATATCTACAGTATCAAAAGAATATATCTTTCGTTTGCTCATCATCATCATTATTATTATTATTTTATGCATAGGCTCGATTTATTACCCATTTGTTTAATGCCATGCAACAGGTAAAAAAAAAAAAAAAAAGAAAGAAAAAAATTGCACTAAAATTAAAGTTTTCTCGCAAATCTATATATAAAAAAAATACCTTGGTTCATAATATCGTAGTTCCATCACCGTGATCCTGGCATAATTGGTCTACTTGGTACAACACGCGTCTCACGACCATATTATGGCATCATCTGTGATGGTATTCATGTGCACCCAAATTCTATTAAAATGGCCTACGATTCTCACCCGGATGGTGCAGTTCTCGTTACCGATGCTATGGCAGCTATGGGATTACCACCAGGAGATTATACTCTGGGTGATATTCCGGTGCGTAAGATCGGTGATGAACGAGTTGAAGTTATTGACAATGGACGACTTGCTGGGTCAGTAATTACTATAGATGCTTGTGTTAGAAATTTTAGAGAATTCACGGGATGTACAATTATTGAAGCTGTTGAAGCAGCAACGTTGCATCCGGCAGAATTATTAGGAATACAAAATATTAAGGGAACTTTGAATGTTGGAGCAGATGCAGATTTGGTATTCCTTAATGATGATCTTAAGGTTATGAGGTGTTTTATTGCCGGGGAAGAAGTTGACATTTGACAGTAAACAGGTCTGATTTTTTTTTTTGCCAAAACTCTCATTCAACATATATGTATTTTAGGCAATGTATTTCAAATATCAATACAAATATTAGATTATTATAAGAAATATATATTATTTCATGCATCTCATCCTATTATGTACATAAAATTTTTTTTAAACTTGAAGTGAATATCGATATAAATAACGAAGAGCAAATATCAAGCTAAAAAAAAGAATACGAAAAAAAGTATTATTATTAAATTTCTTATTATATTTTTATAATAAGTTGTGAATAGCTTACCTAAGAGTAGTGACAAAGCCAGCTGGCATAAATTTTCCGCTTTTATAGAAACGAACACCCATTACAATAAACAACACTGATGATACGACTAAAGATTTTCAATTGAACCAGGTTATAGAACTATGATTATAGAAATAAATTACAGATAAAACAAAAAAAAATATTAAATTATTACATACTGAATGCTAGAAGTGCATTCTTTGGATTAACACTAGCTCGATTTGCAGCAAATGCCTGAAACATTATTTAGCGTTAGGAATTGAATTTTATTTCGATGTGATAATGAACATTAATGAAATTCTCACCGCCAACCCGCCAAAAGTTAAACCGAAAAACAAAGAAGGTATACTCCCTAAAAGTGAATGGTTAAAGAAAACAAATTTTTTTTTTTTTCTTTTTACCACGCGATTACACTCATGTACAATACCTGCTTTTACATAACCAAAAACACCTCCCAAGGCGATAGTCTGTGTATCGTAATAATTTAATTATATGAATAAAAAAAGGTTTGAAATTATTTAGAAAATAAAAAAAAAACAAACGATAAAATTATTTACAGTAGCGTAAATATATCCAGGATAATCAGTCATTGTAATACGTATAATTTTGAGAAAGAAACTTTAAACGTACGGACGTATCAGTATGTACACTTGAAAATTATTTTATTCTGGGAATAACGATAACCAAAAGTCACGTTTTGATGTACTTGATCTAATTCTGATGATATTGGATAACTTGAATACGTACCAAATTACTGACAAAGGATTAGTATGACTACATATTAATGTTAGAGACACCTTCGCGCGAGATAATTATGTCATTCTTATATTCATTTCGCAAGGAAAATTTGATAACACAGAAAATCAGTAAATTTTTAATACTTATGCTAATAAAAACTGCAAATAAATTTACAATTTGGAGATTTGTTATAATCTCGCGTAAGTCACACGATATATGAGTTATATTACTAGGTTTATCTCGCGCGAGGTACCAAGGCAGGCACATCTCTAGTTACTATCATATCATCCGATTCGTGTCTTAATAAGACAAATTAAATACCGTAAAGTGCATATATAAGACTCAGGTCACTTACATTCCACCAATTTTAAAACCCTTTAGTAGACCCCAGGTCTAGTACACGCTGAGAGGTTATATCGTGAAAAGAAAAAAATTTAGAGTGCATACACGCTTTATATATATGGGTGCCGCCAAGAGAAAACCAGGAATTCTAAAAATAGACTTCCATCCACAGCGAAGTTGCGGGGTTTTTTAATCGGTCAATGTAATAACATCGTGTTATTACATTGACCGATTAAAAAACCCCGCAACTTCGCTGTGGATGGAAGTCTATTTTTAGAATTCCTGGTTTTCTCTTGGCGTCACCCATATATAATAGAAACCTAGCTAATTGAAAAAAAAACCGCATTTGATTAATAAAGATTCTGCGGTTCGCATCCGGGTCTAATTCATGGTGGGTCTTCTATTTTGGGGGATCTTGTATATGCACTTTTATGGTAGTTTAGTTTCTGACATGACGTTAAAATTGTTCACAGTAACAATATTTGTATAAATCAAATAATGATGGTGGACTTTTGTATTATCGCTTCTGCACCATACTGATGCGTAACACTTTTTCATAATAACAGAAACGTACTATAAACAGTTAAGGATGGTCACAACTCGACAAATCGCGACTTGAGTCGACTCAACTCAGCTCACAATTCAAAATTTGATTTGGCTAAGAGTTTCAAGGAATTCCCTTGACTCAACTCGCTCAGAGCCTCAGTCGATTCGACTCGCTAAAGGTTTGACTTGAGTCGATTTGAGTCGTGCCCAACCTTATAAAGGTTATTCTGACTTTACAAAAAACTTTGAATGTCTCATGATCATCTCGCCATCCAATATTTCTTATCTCTTTATCTGCTATTTTTCCAGAAAGTAATTCTCAATGATTTCGTATATGTTGCAAGAACGAAATTAATCCAGTGTCAGGAATAAGTTAATGTTAAGATTAGGTCTAGTGTTAGGAGTAGATTTAAATTTAATTGCGCTTAGTACATTTTTTAATGTTATAATATGTCATTGATTATCTACCATACCCATTAAATATTACTGGGAAATTTACAAGCCAGTTTTAATCCGTTCTCAGTTAATATTGAAACCTACGTAAAAGATTCTAATCTTAGTATATAATTATGATAGAGGAATTTGGCACTAACATAGTAACATAGTACATACATACGCTCTTGTCGAAAAAGCGTTACTTTGATCTTTTAAGTCTATATAATTTATTATATGAAAAACGTGTCATTAGGTTTTCAATTATATTTTGTTCCGAACTTTAGAACTTATCCATTAAAGTCTGATCAACTATATATTATACGCTATGTATATATGCGTTGATCGGATTTTCAAAAGCTTGATGACAGATTTTTCCTTGACCGCACTTATATCACATCTATGTAATTTGATTATAACATTGTTACATATTTTTTTTTTTTTTTAGATATTAATAGTTAATACCGAGTGTAAGTGAATTAAATAAAAGCTAAAAAAGACTATAAATATAATTTACCTTCTTGCGAGATACGTAGTGGCTTAATCTTTACATCCATTTCGTAAGTTCTTAAATTTGTATAGTTTATTGCTAAAGGAAAAATTATACGGTATAAAAAAACCGAGATATGTTAAACCAATTTTGAGATCTATAAGTATATGCACTATATATTAAATGTATGCTAAGTTTTATCGAGCAGAGGTAGAGGTACACTCTTCGGACAATACTAAAAATCTTTGTTAATCATAAGAAAAAAAAAAAAAAAAAAAAAAGCAAAAAGTATCATTTTTATTCCCAGAAAAAAAAATTTTTTCATTGTGATTTCATTACAGAATAATTTGAAAAGGTATTTCTTATGTTATCATGCCGGAAGAACCTGTACATACGTACATATATCCATTTTTACAAAATTAAATATGACTTCCACAAGTCATTTCCGAAAAAAAAAGCGTAAATTTGTATGTAAAATATAAAACTATTATTTTACAAGTATCAGGACAAAATGTTCATTTTGAAATTAGCTGAATTACTACACATGAAGTCATTCGAAGCTAGTCGAGGTGTATGTTAATATTAACATTATTAGAAGAAAAAAAAGAGGGGAGAGGACGAAATTTACAAAAATTCAACAAATAAAAAAAAAAAAAAACTACTCGTGTATATATAACATCGATCATTATTCACATTAATACAGAATTATTTCACAAAATTCAAGTAAAAAAAAAAAAAAAAAAATTAAGATGTTAAATCCAGCACAGTTTCTTTCTGAGCAAAAAATCTGTGAAATCTAACAACGCTTTGGTTTTCTTCAGCTTCCTCAAGCACTGTCCTGATAATCGAATCAATATTACCTATTCTAACACCAAAATAATTTGCTAATTTTGGTAGAAAAGCCTTCAAAGTATCATTTGCTACTTGAGCAGATGTTTCACCCAATTTACCACCAAATGGACCTAGAGGAAGATATTGTATCTTGTGTTGAATATTACGGAGTTCCGATGTCATATGCATGTAATCCTTGAATCGGCCGATATGTGTTAAACGAAGGTGACTTGAAACTGGATATAGTTTAAAAATTAATGTTGACAGAGGTGTATTACGAGTAATTAAAAAAGGTAATTAAAACAGGTAATTAAAACAGGTAATTAAAACAGGTAATTAAAACAGGTAATTAAAATAGGTAACGGAAACAGGTAACGGAAACAGGTAATGGAAAACAAGTAATGAAAAACAGGTGATTAAAACAGTGATTAAAACAGGTAATCAACATTAAAATGGATAATTGAACAGGAAAAATTTAACATACATAGATTCAACAATTTTTCGGTGGTGGGTCCTTTTTTTCCATAGGAATAGTCATAATCCGACAACTATTATTTGAAATTATACTTTGATTAAAAGAAAATACAAAGAGAATAATAGCAAGATAAATATAAATTATACACACTTCTATCCATCCGCCAGGTTTCAATACCCTCACTAGCTCCTAATTGTGGTAAAAGACGTGTGTGAGTGAGTGAAAAGTATTCTTAATACATAATAAACGACTTTAATAAAATAAATCATACATTCATAATAATTTGCCATTCAGTTTCATTATATTCGATCGAACGATTTTTCATAGTCACAAAATCGAAAGTTTCATCTTTTAAAATATATGCAATTTTAATATGCATCTTTTTTGATACTAAAAGATACTAAAAGTAGGTTTAAATTTAAAATACCTTCATACGGTAGACCGCTAATAGGATCTGCTTCTATAAATTCAACATCAAAAGGCTTATTAACGGTTTCTAAACTTGAATATGGAGATGTATATGTGCCGATGTAAGTACATCCTGGATAGTCGGCAGATAATTCGAATAGCCAGGTTCCTACATCGCATCTAATTGAACAAAAATAAATTAATAAAATATTTAAAACATATATTTTACATTATTAGAAAAAAACTTACCCAACGTCCAAGACTTTAGCCCATCCTGTTTTAAGCACATCGTCTACTGGAGAGCTAAAATTTCCTTTAAAAATTTCTCTTGTAAGATGATGTCTTGTATGTAAAATTTCTTTTTCTTCATCCGTTAGCGGAAATGTTTCTTGATAACCCGAGATAGATTTTGAAAATGGCTTTCCCATTTTTTTTCTTAGATAAAATTTTGGATCGGAGAAATTAGAGAATTTCCGAATTTAAAGAATTGAATTTTTTTTAAATAGAATTTTTAAAATAAAATTCCTGGAAAAGTGAAATATTTATAAAAAATATTTTTCCTTTTTTATTTTTTATTCGAATTTCGTCTGAAGAGACTCTTTTTATTCGAAAGTTGCTTGTCAAAAGGGAAAAAAAAATTCAATTGATAATCATGGGATTGCACTTCTATTTTTTTTTATTGAACCATTACCAATACAATAAGGTAAATAATGTCTATTGCAGCTGTTTAGTGTTCAGTGCAACCAACACATAAAGTTTTAGTGACTAACTTTATTCGACTGCCAATTTTTGGAAAATCTCCGACACAAACCAATAATACGGAAAGAGTACTCCGAATTTTTGTTCGATTTCGTGAATATAGAATAAGATTAGAATACTGTAAGATTAAATAAGATTAAGCAGTCTTTTTTTTTGATACGCATGTAGTGGTCGGATACGTAGTAATTGAGTAGGTAACATAAATGCGCCTATAGATGTGACAAATCGAGCAAAGCATTATCATAGTTACAAATTTATCCAACAGCACTTATTTTATGCCTAATTTCTTGCATTACGGATAAGATCAGTGAGATACGTATTCAAATTCAAGCAAATCTTTGTTTATACGCATATATAGAAAGGTCATCTCGATGTATTGTTCTTTCACGCGTTGAGATTAACATACAGTACACGGAGCACTAGACCCACACCATAATGTTATACAAGCTTTATTAGATCCCACTATATTGAAAAAGGTTATTGGTAAAAAAATATCACGTATCGTGATGCCAAATTGTTAATGATTTTCCAATTAAAAATATATGTTTGTTACGTACTGACTTCTTAAAGTTGGTTACGAATTTCCGATTTACTAATAAAGTAACTTTTTTAAAAAATATATACATATAAAATACTTATTGATAAAAAAATGAACAATTCATGCAATTAAAACAACTTGAATAATAAATTATATAATTTTAATTAATGCAATTATATAATTTTTTAATTAATACAATTATAATTCAATTGATCTTTGGTATTAATACAGTAGTAATAACTGATAATCACCATATCAAACTCTTAAATAATATAAAAACAAACACAGGAGATTCTTGGAATTTATAATTAAAAATATCGGTTAATTTTCATTGATCCTATAAAAGATTTACGATTTACGAGTTGATTGCTACAGAAATCTAGATGCTTGAATTGATTGCTACAAAATCTAGAAGTTCTATAAAAAAAACTCTAACATATAATAAACACAATAAAAATTTTAGAAACAAACTGGTTTTATTTGGAACTGGCCTTATTTGGAACCGGCTTTATTTGGATAAATAAGATAAATAACCTTATTAAACAATCAATTAAAATATATATAGTTTTTAGTGTTAATTACTTGCATAATAATGATATATTTAATATAGTACGTACGTTATTTATATAATAATAAATATTCTTGATCAAAATTTTACAACCGACCAAGCTAGAACGAAAAACTTTGAATGTATTATTAATATATCGTTTAACAAAAATTTGATAATACGTACCCCACTTGTCGGTATCAGTTAAGTTGCTACGTATTCGTTATCAGTTAAGTTGCTTCGTTATCAGCTCAGTTACTATTACGGCATTTTCCGACATTTACCGACATTTATCGTTATCTGTTATAGCCGCGTCGAAAATTTTGCTTAATGCCCTTTTTTTTTAGTTACCGTGCTCATAACGATAACGATAGATACCGCATAGCGATAGATGCTGTATAACTACAATAATAAATATACTGTATATTACGTATCATAGATTTCAATAAAGTTTTCTTGATTTTCATAGTCATCAATAAGTAATAATAAGTAATATGACAACGAACCTATCCGGATATAAAACGCAAGAGCAATCGAGTTCATCTCCAAATTTAATATCGATAAAATAAACAAACAAGCAAAATGTAGTGGACTAAACGAGATTGTTACATACGTACGTCCGTACATATGTACATATGTGCATATGTATGCACGTACGTCCTGTGCAGAATATGCATTACGATACAATAATAAAGATTGACATTCACATTGCGATAATACAGTAATAAAAAGAGAGATTTACATTCACATTGTGATAAGCAATTATAAGGATACGTAGGTATATGTATCTTTCCATTACACATAATATCTTAAAATATCTTTTTCATGTATGTATGTACGTATGTACGTTGTTTAAAGTAATAGTAGAGAAACGGTACCTTGTCACTAACTAAATCTGATACAAACTGACAAAACTGGTTAAACCCTTTCAAAATATGTGTAACAACCTTGGGTTCTCGGATCTACTTTTCAGGTGGAATAACTTTTTATTAATAATATTAATAATGCTTTGACACATGATTTACTTAACACTTCATTGAAATAATTGGATTATATTATTCATTACGTACGTACGTAGAATTCCCTAATTTGTTATATTTCGGTTGTTGGCATATATCTATATATGTATATCATTAATGTTAATACGTATTAAAGATGTGCTAAACTCTAGAATTACAATAAATTCACATATCGAGATTAGGTTGTGTTAAGTTGAGGTTCGAGGCTAAAAATCCGGAACCTTTTTCTCCCTAGCTTGTTTCGTTTTTTCCTTATAATGACTAATTATTAATTCCGCAAAATCAAATTCTTGAAATTCCAATTTATTTAATTGAGAATATTATTCCATTTTAGAATAATTATTTGAAATTTGAGAACAATGTTTTAGCATTCTAAATTCTTGCTGAATGAGAAATTTTTAAAGAACACGCCTTTTTACATACATATAATATTACACAAAAATAAGTCTTTTATAATCTTTTTCCTTGCATGTTAGAG